ATGCTTTCTTTGACCCCTCTGAATACCAAGCCACCTTAAAGGGGCTTAAAGGGGAGGGGGGAGGGGAGGTTGGTTTACATAACCAAAGATGCAATTACTCAACAAAAACTGTATTTACTTTACTTTCATATGATTTGATGCAGGAACAAATCTCTCCAGTGACTTCTCTTCCTCTTTTGGGCACGGGTATGGATTGATCAGACTATTAAACACTCAAAAACATCCATACAAGAAAACCTGACAGTTATGAAATACCACAAAGAAAGATCTAAACCAGAAATAAAGAGGAAAAAAAAGAAAGGGGGGGGGGCGTAGGGATTAGGAACTCATTTCAGGTTTTACACAGCTGAATAATTTTACTCAGCAGCCACTGATCTAAGAAGTTAGCTCATGCTGTAAAACATTGGGGAATACTCTCAGCAAAGGAGCCAGAGGGATTATTCAGTATGTCCATGTCCGCCCTCCCTTGGAGCGTGGCTTAAAAGGTTCTCAGCAGAATTAGGCTAAAAAAGACAGGCAGCAAGACCATCTATCTCCCCGTGCTTCAGTAAACCAACATCTACATTTATATATCATGCTAAACACAAGGCAGTCCCTGAAATTGAGGAAAAGTAGCAGAAATCAAACCAGAAATGTACGCCTTCCTAATAAAGTCTGATCACCCAGTGGCAAGCTGACAGGTGAACCGGGCATCTTGTTCAAGACCTTAACCTAAGGCAGAATACCAAAACTATCAAACACAGCAGAGTTGGCTAGCCCTGTAATTCTGCCAATTTTCTCCAAGGATTACCTAAAAAACAACCACAAGTCACAGAAATACAGCATGGAAAAGACTTGTGACTGCTTCCACCAAGTGACTCTTCCATACGCAACTCAGCCCATAATTTGGTTGTTCTTCCTTCCCCTCTGGTTCATTCCACCAGTTGTAATTACACATTTTGGACTACTGAAAAGCACATTACAGCTACAAAAGTCAGTGCCCTGCTATCAGATATCTCATACAGCTTCAGAAAAAAAAGAAATCAGAATCTACTCTGGCAAATTCATTAAGGAAGAGTCTTTCAGAAGAACTGGGTTATATAGCAGGTCTGACAAATGTCTGTAAACTTACAAAAAAAAAAAAAAAAAAAGAATTGATGGGGAAAGAGTTTAAAGAAACAACCTGAATGCCAAGCCTGTCAACTGTCATGTTAATATATATTACGTGCTCTCTTTGAGCTCTCAAACTAGAAATCATTAGTCAAACATGATTAATACGTAGTCAGTACTCAGAACAACTTTTATATATAAACATACACATATAAAGGTATAAATATACGTGTGCACACACATGTATGTGCATATATATACACACACACACTCCTATATAGGATATAACTATATAAAGGAAATACAAATTCAAAGATGCTCAGACAAGAGGGAGTCACCCAGTCACAGAAAACAAGGGAGAAGAAATCAGCCAAAGCCATGTTTGATACAAGACTTCCATGCTGCTAAGGCTGGATTGCTTTTGGCAAAAGCAGGAAGGAAGCTTAAGTCAATGGGAGATGTAAAAAGGAGAGTTCATCACAAGGAGAAAGGAAAGATAGGGAGCTCAAACACTTGAACCAGTTCCACAGATAGCTCCTAGAAAAAGCTCTACAAACTAGCTACAACTTTGATGCAGTTAAGGAATAGTCTTACTAGCAAGTGTTATTTAGAACTGTTTCTGTTGTTTCCAGTTTCCTAATCAAGAATTAAACCCCCTGTTTTCCTAGAATAAAGCCAGTTTTAAGGTTGCCCAGTGCCTAAAAATGCCTAGCAATTAAAATGAACTAAAGTGGCTATTAGGCACATAGCTTTCAAAGAGTGCCAGTCTGACTGGATTTGGAGAAATCCTTTGAGGTACCTCTAAATCGAAACAGATTTAAGCTTCTCGGGTATTAGCCAAAAAACAAAGAAAAGTCTCCGGGCTGAGAGACACTGGTGTCAGGCACCAGGGAAGAAGGGAGAAGTCTAAGGAATGCTCCAGCTGGAAGAAACAGGTGGAGTGATCACAGCGGCACAAAAACCTTTATGCAAGAAAATGCTTGATATATAGGTATCAAAATTAAGTTCATTAGTGAACCATTTCATTAAACAGATCAGCAGTATAATAGTTACCTCTGAAATTTTCCCATCAGTGCTAGACTTGAGTTAATTAGCATAAACACAGACTAATGGCAGTGGACTGTTAAGTTCTTCATGCAGACAGACAACAATTGCAAGCCCCACTTAACACTATGCCACTGCACTCTCCGCTATACGTTCCTTGGATTTTTACATTGCTCTTCCCATTAGACTTGGCTTCAGGAATTGCTTTATATAAAGCTCTGGGTACCTAACATCTAACTCTGCAACTGTTCCTACATGTCCTTCCTGGTTACCAGTGGGACATGACACTTTTCTCTCTTTTCCTCCGCTCTTCAAAGAGCCAGCTTGAGTATGAGAGTAATAGGAAGAAAGAGACATTATTGCTCCCCAAACTGACAAAATCAGGAGAAGAAACATTATTCTTCCTTCCCAGATGAGCTTCAGAACACCAACTTGCTGCTCTCTAGAGCTTTTCCCAAACAGCAGCTAACGAACTCATACACAGTTATCTTCACATGCTGCCACCTACATGGAAATATTTGCAAGCCAATTACGTATCATTTTGTACTGAACTGCAAAGAGACCTTGCAACCTCAACTGCAATATTAGGCTGCTGATGTCCTGCTGGGTGCACCTTTGCCCTAGGGACTAGTTTACATTTGTCCCATTTTGCAACAAGGTAGCAGTGGAAATCTCAAAGGCACCGAGCAGAGGCATGAAGAGAGAAGAGCAGAAAGTAATCCTGGAATCACAGAATGGTTTGGGTTGGAAGGGACCTTAAAGATCACCTCGTTCCAACCCCCCTGCCATGGGCAGGGACACCTTCCACTAGACCAGGTTGCTCAAAGCCCCATCCAGCCTGGCCTTGGACACTGCCAGGGATGGGGAATCCACAACTTCTCCGGGCAACCTGTTCTAGTGCCTCACCACCCTCACAGTAAAGAACTTCTTCCTTACATCTAATCTAAATCTACCCTCTTTCCATTTAAAGCCATTACTCCTTGTCCTATCACTACATGCCCTTGTAAAAAGTCTCCCTCCAGGTACTGAAAGATGTGAAATGAAATAATGTGAAAGAAAGCTTCTCACTGAAGCATTAAGATTGACTGGCCATGGATACAGACTGCATTAAAAAAATACCAAAACTAATGTTGCCAAGAATCAGCCACATGGAGGTAAAACAGTAAAGTGGAAAATGCAGTCTCAAGCTCAACATCAAGTTAAAGATTTCCAAAAGACTTTTACTGAAGTTACTGTTAAACAAAGGCTCCTGGAATAGTGTTCTGAGAAGTTTTAACACTTCCCCTGTTTGCAGAAGGTTTCTAAAAGCCATTAGATAAGGCATTTGTCTTCTGCTTGTCTCATGAAATTCTACTTCACTCTAGCCAAATTACAAGCTGGTTAAAAAAGCAAGCAAAAACCCCCAAACGAGCACAATATAGTTTAAAAAACTACGCCGCACTACCAACAAAACAGCAACAGCCATATAACACTGGAAATGCTTGCTATCGCCAGGCGAGGGTAAGGAAAGAAGGGGAAAGGCTGATCTTAAAAAATAATAAAAAAGTTAAATCGCATTCTCCTTGATTCCTGCAAAGTGATTTTGCAAGCTTTCCATAGGCACAGGCAAGGCACAGGGCCAGGTCCCCCCCCAAGCACCTCTCAGAGACGCAAGAACAGAGCTCCTCCAATTATTGCTCTGTGCACTGCACAAGACTGCAGCGACCTGCCACCAAAAACTTATCCTGGAGATGTCAACTCCTTCTCTAGCTCCAAAGACCATGAAGTGGGTGGGTTGCCTCTCCCATTCTGTTGACCCACTTTGTGACAACAGCAGTTAATAGCTTTCTAGTAGCTACCAGCTCTCATATACAGTCCTTTGCAACGTTGTGGACACATGTATACTAGCATTTGAAGACAACTAAGGATGTAATCTGCTTTAAAAAATGAAAAATTATCATATAATTTATATAAATTATCATATAATTTATATAAATATTTATAACTACATATAAAAAAAATCAGAGGAAGTTCAGAAGGTCATCTAGCCCATTTCCCCACCTCACAGCCTACATTAACTCCCATGCAGACCAGAAAGACCTTTTTTTTTGTTTTTGTTTTTTTTTTAAAAACACTTCATGGACAGCCCTGCTTTAAGCATGAGGTTGGACCAGATGCCATCTTGAGGTCCATTTCATCCTGAATTCTCCTATGATTCGTAAAATCCTGATACATACATAGACAAGGAAGCTGTTTATAACTTCACATTAAAACAAAACCTTGTAACCGCTTTTTATAAAGCCCAAAGAATTTTTATATCTAGACTGAAAGAAAACATAAATGGCTGTGTCTACTTCCTTGAGATTTAGTAAATACAGCTATTCGCTCCTTCTTCTGGAGCATAAGCATTCTGACAAATGCTCCAATCACACGATCATACATTATTCTCTCCTCTGGTCAGCCTGTACATGGAACAGATGCACAAGGAAGGAGACAAGCATGCAGACACTGGGTCTGGGAAAAGTCATGAGTGCTTTAAATCTACAGTGTTTAACGCTGAATTCTAGAAAACATACCTGCACGTATGGAAAGGTAGTGCTAGAATGTACACATGAAGCCCAGCTGTACACCACTAAATTAAAGAAGAGGTGGTGAGTATCCAAATCTGTTACGCTGTTGTTGTGCTACACTAATAACACTACTCCTCATGGACCACACACTTCGATACTGAAAAAGATCTGCTCCAACATTATCTGCTGGGCACCGCTATGGCATCTTCTCAAGGTTATCACGTCTACTATCTTCACACTCCTGTCTCTAGAAATTCAGACAGTTCAGTTATACCCCAGATGGTTACCAGGAGGCATTGCCTTGTTTTTCATTCTTACCTTCTCTCCACTAGAGTAGAAGAAATAACGCAATCGGACAATGTTACAATGATCCAACTTTCTCATAATCTGGAGCTCTCGGTTCTGAAACAAGAGAAAAGCAAACAATTAAGGAAAACTTTTCTCACAATGAGTACTGTAATGTCTTAATATACAGATATAGGAGCTGAGAAAACTATGAACCAAAGAACAACTAAAGTTGGAAAGAGGCAACAGCTTTCACACATTTATTAGTCTTTCTTCCAATTACTTTATCACTGAGAATATTGACATCTTTGAGTACTTTCTCCTTCTAAAATAATGGTCCACAATCCCTCACAAAATCCAAGAACTACCTACTTACTTTACCAAAGTTTCAGTAGTAAAAGGCAAGAAAACATTTAACTTTCCATTTTTATTTTCTGATCTCACAGTAATACAATATATCAGCCAGAATGGTTGGAAGCCTATCCCCCTTGAATACTGTAAAAATAATGTAAACAACGTAAAAGCAAACATAACATTTCCACCTACATTCCTGCCCTCTTCCACACTGCAAAAGAGGTTTGGGATGGAGTATAATTTCCTGTACCATTCTCTTGGCAATACCAACAAAAAGCACCTGAAATTGAGTAGGCAACTCAGTTCCCACTTTCATTCAACCAAGGTTTATGCAGGTTTAGGCAGACAGAGTAACAGTGTTATTTTCCCATTTTGTATCAACCCAAAAAAGCTGTTAAAACAAAATCAGTTCATTACATGCATGGTAAACTGGGGACTTCACTGCAATATCCACCATAACTGAGCCCTAAACAAATGAGGGATGTTATAGCCTAACAGATAAAAATAAGTGAAATGTTGACTTGCAGGTATGAATAAAAAAAAAGCAAGTAAAATTAGCACAGCTATGTTTGTTATACTTCATTCCACAGTTGTTGCTACAATACTCCTTTCTCCTATGGTCACATTTACACATCACTGTTTTTCCTTCCTCAATTACTATACAATCTGCAGCTTCAAACCCAGAAGGTATTCCAATTTTTACTTAGATCACAGGGTTGCTAATCATGCATCCTAACTAGCTAGGACCAATACACTAGACAAATACACTAGTCCTAGTAGCATCATTAACTCTGGCCAACTTCAGGAACATTTGGGAAGAAAATTCTTTAGCCACCACCCATTTTTATAGTGAAATGCACAAAACTAACACCTACATTGTGCGCTGCTGTTGAAATAAGGATTTCGTATTCTATGTGTATCAGAGGGTCACTTATGGTGCCTATCACTACGATTAAAGCTTAACGAACTCTGCAAGAACGACTCAGAGCTTCTAATGTGAAGATGGCTACGAACTCTGCTTTTAATTCCTCTAAGCCATATAGCCTTAAAAAAAGAGAGGTGTTAGATAGGATGCAGTATCATTCATCCTATCATCCCTGCCACCCACTGACTGAAAAAATACTTCAGTATTAGCCAGCTCTTTACAAACACGAGTGACATCTCGCACAATTATCAGTTGGCAATAATCCAGCCAGTAGTTAAGGAGAAAGCAAGTCCTTCCCTGAGCCTGCCCAGCTTCTGAACAGATTAAAGCGTAAGTCTGTTAGGTGCACACCATGACAGGCCTATTCTATCCTGAAGGATGAAGAGAGAAAGTCAGAGAAAGCTGGGAGAGACCTTTGAGGCTTTCATGTATCTCCTGAAACCCTGTGGAGTGAATTTATGAAAGAGGAATACAGGCTTCATCACATAACCTCGTCAACAGCCCTCACGTATCACAGAGAAAAGCGTTCTCCTGGTAGGAACAGGAGCTCAGATATCCTCCACTATTCATTCTTTATTAAATGCTATCCAATAGAAGTCACTTTTGAGAGTCACGGCTGGGGTTCCTGTGACGCATGGCACAGTTCAGACTTCAGACCGACAAAGACCGCATCCTCTCATCTCGCCTGAACCACGTGCCGCTGCTGGCTCAGTGGTGTCTCCCTGGACCTTACAACCTGGGGCAGGTTTCAACTAGCGAGCCAAAGTAGGGATGGCTGTAGATCCCATCGGTCACCGAAACATCACTTATGAGAAGAGATTAATTTCTCTAGTTGGCTTTTACAGTGCTTAACAGCGTTACTAGAGGACTGCACCTAACACTGCAAGCTCCAGCACCTCAACCGAAGTCCACCAGCAATTCATAGCACAATGTAAGGCAAGTCATTTCTTCCTCTCTTTCTCCCACTGGCTGGGAGATGGGAATAATACCTTTTATCTCATGGAATTACTGGAAGAAACACGAATACACTAAGCATTAACGTGCAAATATTATTTTGGCAATATCTCTACTACCTCCTTAAAATACCCATACTTACTCTAAGGTTATCCCTTCATGTTCTTTAGATAGTACGTATATGCCAATCGGATACACTGGGAAAAAAATAATCAGAAGTTATTCTAACACTAGGCTGAAGTTATATTTATAGCTTAGTATCTCATCCTAGCACAAGCACAGTCTGTGCCCACTTTGATGCCTTCCACTCTGATCCATCTCCTTCTGCTCTCATCCTGACCATCTGCTGCAGCTGCACAAACAGTGCTTCGAGAGGTGCTAATATCAGGGATAACTCATAAACCAGTTACACAGTAACCTATATCTCGCATCCTGTGACTAGACATAAGGCAACAAATTTAAACTGTCATCTTAGTCAAATAGTCACCTCGGCCATCTTAAAACCAAGCTGACTTCTCATCACCACTCCCTGGTGGAGTTAAAACTCGAAATACTCCAACACTTGCAAAGCTCGAATTGGATGTGGTGGGGGAACAGCTACTGATGTTCATGTAACAGAATGATGCTTTAAAGAATTCATTTTTTCTCAGATGAATACTTCAAGTAGTCTCACTTTACCATGTATTTCCCTGTACACATCTTAAATAACTAACAGCCTTTTCACATTATAATGTGGGCTATTAATTACTGGTGCACAAATGCACGGGGCGGCGGGGGGAACAGATTATAAACTGGGAACCTTTAGTGAAGTGAACAGTGACAGATGTCCTACACCGAGTACAAGAGAGAAAATGCATGTCTAAATATAATGCAAACTAAAACCATTTAAAAACATGCTGATGAGAAAGGCTGACAGTGCATGATCAAAATACAGAGTGGATGAAAACATAAAGCTTGTGCTTATCCTTAACTCATCATTTTTGTCTTCCAAGACACATGGATGTAAAGTCAAAGACTCAAGGAGGAAGTTGTTATTCTTTCCTGTTCTCCCACCCATTCACATGAAGAGAAGGGTTTAGTTTTCTTACTGAATGGAAGTACCAGGCCTGGTAAGCACTGAAGAAAGCAATACCCTTCAGCGCCAGCCTCACCACAGGAGAGGACCCAGAAGACTTCAGTTCACACGGAAACACAGAGCTCCTGCAGCACACATTCCTCCAAGAAGCTGCAAACCAACGGGACCATGAACAGATTACTCAGCAGATTCCTGTTGCAGTTTGATTTCTTTATCCAGAATAATTTCTTTACCCAGAAGGCAAGGGGCCGCTGACACACAACTCCAGAAGACTGCTTTACAACCAGTGCATTTGAGCCCTTCTGACTACTGAAGCAAACCCAACGTGACAAAACCCTGGTCATCACTTCTGAAAACAACTTTCCTAGCCCAGACTGCCTAGATCTGTTCATTATACTGAAGAAATCTGGTTGCTCATCAAGGTTAAAGATTGCCAAGACAACATCAGGTTTATAACTTCAAAGCATAGCCAATAAAGCTCATGCATGAAGTCTCATGCCTTCTCTCCAAAGTTACAGTCCCAATTCCTCATAGCTGTGCGAATGCTGCAGTTGATATAAAACCATTAAAACAAGATCACTTCTGCCTCACTATTGTAATCTGCTATTACAGATTAGGATAACCATCACCCCCCTGCTTCCCTCCCCATCCAGAGATTTCTAGAGCTGTGTCAGTTTGCATTCATCACCCCTAACACCTGGATCTTTGCCTTTTCACCCTCCCCTACTTCACCCCTCCTGTGCCGCCGCCTCCTTTTTTACAACAGGGGATAAAATGACTGGATCAGAGATGATGCATTATGGACTTGCAACTTCCCGAAATGAACAAGAACAAATGAAGGTGGAAGGTTTTGTACAGCTCATGTCAGCATGACATTATCAATATATACCCAATGAAGTGTAGAAATATCACCTGGATCCAGTTCAGAAGAGAATTCCTTAGAGTTTCCTTAGCTAAAGGGCATGCTGGGTTTTGATTTTTTTTTTTCTTCTGAAATGCTTGTTTAAAGTCTCAACAAGGTTCTTTGAGGATTATGTTCAAAGCAGATGAAATGAGAGAAATTATAAATTTGTATTTTTGCCTTGTGTCACACCAAGGACATGACCTGGTTCTTGTGAACGGGTAAGATTGTGTACATCTTGTCCTTTTAAGAAAGGATATCTTTTTGATGGAAAGGCAGGATAAGCTACCAATCTATTTCAACAAGCAACTTCAGCATCGGTCTTCTTGCTCAAATCAAGTAAGGCCAGCAACTAAAGTTAATGCTCATTTTTGCACTTTTGGAACTAAGTTTTATTCTTCTTGGAGTAATACCTTCAAATGCTGAAGCTCGGTATCTCGTGTTCTTCTATCAGGTTGGGAAAACAGAAAATGAAGGGTAATTGTCACATGAACTCTGGCATTACAGATAGATGGAAGCAGCACAGGTAGATCCCAACTTCTCAGTATACACAATCCTCCTCTTACACATACCATGTTTACAGCTCCCTCCTTTCTCCTGCTTCCATCATAACCTTCTCCACTCTACCACATTTCTTGTTGTTCAGTAAAGGTTTTCCCACAGCGAAGAACCGGAGCAGGCAGCCATGAGCAGGCCAAGTTGGGGAAGAAACTTGTTTCCAGCGGGAGGCATGAAGGCAGTGATGAAGCAGCAAGGCTTGCTTTTTTCCCCCCTGCTTCCTTCCACTTGAACAGCCTGAATGACTAGTCACCTCCACTCACCTTCACCTGCTGCACTGCTGAGCCTGCCCAGAGAACCCGCTCAGGCTGAGGCCCTGAGAGATTTAAAGCATTTTCATACAGCAGGAA